TAACAGTTGAAGAACTGGACCCGTCCTGTTGTCATTCCTCAGCTGCGTGTAAGATATCCCCTATTCTCCACTTTCGTACATGCAAATAATGGTCAGCAGGTTTGTTCGGCAAACCAACAGGCAGTATGGCGCAGAATCTGCCTGCCGCGGTATCCGGCAGGGGCAGGAAGGGCCAGATACGTGTCAGTGTGTGAAAAATATGGCCATGTGACACATAACGAGCCATGGATCTCATGGCCTTTCCATTATCCTACAATTCCTTTCGGCATCTCCCGCTCTCTGTTGCGTGTGACCGGCGAGATAACCAACTGTGTATACCTACAAGTACAAAGAGAAAAGAAAGGTGCGTAGTGCGGCTACCTGCTGTTGATATGCTGGATAGCAGCGAGCCACTTCTGCTCATCAGACCTACGGCGACCAACGGTTAGCAACAACGATCGGCATCTTATACAAAAATCGAGAATAGACTCACTTATCAAACTTGAGCAGCTTTCCAAGAACAGGTACCAACTGCGCCCTCAGCCTATTATCCTTCTGCTCCAAAAACTGCAACATAATCGTCTTCAGGTACATGGCGTCGGGGGTACCCGCTCCATTGACGCTGCCGGAACGAGTCGATTCCTGCGAGGTCCTACTGGGGTTCGCAACAGCCGACGACAACTTGGCCTGCAGTGTCTTGACCTCCTTGTTCAACTTGTCATACCTTAACCGGTAATCGTCCAGCGCCCGACGCAACTCCGTCGCTTTCCTCTCGTGCTCCCGCACCTGCAGCTCCGATGCATCCAAAGTGGAGCGGAGGTTGGAGACGGTAGTGCGCATCTCACTCACTTCCGTCTCGGCCCTCTCCTCGATAGCCTCGAGCTCCTGCCTCCTACGGCGCCACTCGCGCTCCTCGCGTTCGAGGCTGTCTTTCTCGCTGGCAAGTTCCTTCACTTCCCGCTCCAGGTCGCGCACCTTTTGCTTGAGCTCCTCCGTCTCCCGCGATTTGCGACGAGCAAGGGAGGACGACTCATCTTCGAGGCGATCTCTCTCCTCGATGGCGGCCTCCATCTTGGTGCGCATCTCATGTAACCTGCTCTCAGCACGCTCGTCAGCCCCGGCGAGGAGCTTCCGCATCGTGTCAGTGTCGCGAGTGCGTTCATCCAACATCTTCCGTGTATCGGTCAGTTCCTCTTCCAGATTCTCGACCTGAGACTGGCTCTCCTTGAGCTGCAGGCGTAGTTCCGCAGTCTCATCACGCATGCTTCCGATGAGGCTTTGAGCGCTGGAGTACTGATTGGTCTTTGCCTTGACTTCTTCCTGGAGAGTAGCTTGCTCCTTTCTTAACCTGTTGAGTTCGTCCTCAAGCTGTCCGACGCGTGGGCGGAGCTTGGAAGCCTCCTCTTGCACGCGCTGCAGTTCCCTGGATGCCTTCTCTTCCCTGGCCGAGATTTCGATCTTTTCAGCTTCTGAACGACGGAGGTCGCGGCCGGTAACACGACGCTCGTCCTCCACCTTCAGCCTAGCATTTGTCTCTTGGGCCACCTTCTCGTGCAGAGTCTTGATCTCAGCCTCTCGATCGGTCGCAAGACGCTGGGCGCGGGCCAGCTCAGTCTTGAGATCCCTCTCGCGCTTCTCAAGGTTGCGCAGCTCAGTCGTCTTGGCTGCCAGTTCCTCCTTGGTTGTCTTGAGCAGGGCAGACTCCTGCCTGAGGTTCTTAAGCTCCGGCTGAGCCTTCTGAAGCATCTCCCGAAGATCAGTGAGGTCCTTGTATCTGGTCTGTGCAAGCTGCTGGGCGGCTGCCAAATCGGATTGCAAGGTCGATGACTTCATCTTCAGGTCGTCAAACTCTTGCTTCAACGACTCGTGTTCGCCCTGAAGCTTGGTGTTGACCTGAGCACCAGCGGCCGCGGTCTCGACCTCCTTCTCAAGTTCCGCAATGCGTTCCTTGAGCTCCCTCTTCTCAGCCTCGAGCTCCTTGAGCCTTTGCTTGGCCTCAACATGGTCGTGGCCAATGGTCATCAGGTTCTCTTGGAGATTCTCAATTTCTTCACGGAGATCTTCCTCCGTCTTCCTCTGCTTCGATAGTCTTTCGATTCGCTGGTCCTTCTCGGCCAACTCTTCTTGGAGGCGCGTCAATTCGGTTTGCAGCTCGTCAGCGGAGGGCCCTAGCAGTGGCGAAGAGGGAGGCTGTTCAGTAACTGATGCTTCGCTGGGGGCGGGTTCAGCAGCAGCAGCAGCAGCAGCAGCCGCGCCGCCGCCGGCACCGCCCTTCTTCTTTTTCTTGTTGTTCTTCTTCCTGCCACCACCCTGTGCAGGTTGGGCCGGAGTGCTGGCTGAAGCAGCAACAGCAGGGACAGGCGCTGGGATAGGAACCGACACTGCAGTCTTCAGCTTTTTGTCCAACTCTTCTATCTTGGCTTCATCCTGAGCCTTGGCCTTCTTCAGTGTCTGGATTTCAGAATTCAGTTCCTGGATCTTGGTATCGAGATTCTCCTTTGCTTCCGTGATTGTCTTCATCTCCTCCTCCAGGTCCCTGTTGCGGTTCGAGGCGGAAGAAAGCTTCGCTTCCTTCTCCTTGATGGCCTGCTTGCCCTGTTCCACCTGCCTCTCGAGGTCTTTGATCGTGGCCCTGGCGGTATTGGCGCGCTCTGTCAAGGTTGTGATCTCGGTATTCCTAGCAGTGAGTTGTGCTTCAAATGAGTTCTTCAAAGCGGCAGCATCCTTGGCTTCGCCAAGTTCCTGCATAGCCGTCTCAAGACTCTCCACCAGACCGGCACTGTGCTCCTTGGCCTCGGACAGCTCTTCCTTCAAAGAGCGAACCTCAGTTTCGAGCTTCTCAATCTGTTCTGTCTTCTTTTCCACCTCTGCTTGTAGTTGTGGGATCTCAGTGTCATAAGAGAACAATGATTCGCCCTGGCCGCCTTCTTGGGACGCCTCTCCAGCCTTGACCATCTCGGAACCCTTCTCCTTCTCAGCAGGTGGGCTTGTTGATTTGTTGGTCTTCAATGCGGCAATCTCCTCCTTGAGTGCAAAAACCTCCTTGTCGTTCTCGGTGATCTTTTTAGAAAGTTCATCATTGAGAGCTGCCAATTGCTTCTCGGCCTCATCTGCCTTCTTTTTGTGCGAATCCTTCTCGGTAGTAACACGCTTTAGCTCTTCCATCACCATGTCGCTCTTGAGGTTCACCTGATTAAGGTACTCTACGAGAGCTTGAGGCTCGGCAATCGAAGTTAAGGGGGTGTTTTCCTTCAAAGTCTTCTCAAAGGGCTCGATCAGCATTACTTTGCCATGCGCAATTCGGTAGGACCGTAGCAATTCCGGGTAGGCCTTTTCAAGCCTTTCGAGCTTCCTCAACTTGGCGCGGACCTCGGCCGGCAGTTCGGAAGCGACGAGAGTCACAGTTGAGGAGTCCATCGACCTCTTCTCTGAGATCGAGGATGCGTCTGCGTTTTGCCCACTCTTCTCAGACATGGCTCTTGACGAAGCAGCCTCGCCCCCCTTTTCGGGAATCACCCCCAGTTCCTTTGCCTTTTCTGGATCCGTCGACATTGGGGTCGCGGCTCTCGAGGGCGTTGCGGTATCGTCGGTGTCGTCGATTGTAAAGGCAGCCTCGAATACGGCAGGATCGGGATTTGTGGCCCCCCCTTCTCGACTGGCGGAATCCTGGCCCTGCTTCGCTGTTGGGCGCGGTCGTCGAGCTGGAGAATGGGTGCCCGCACCACTAGATGAGCGCGACCTCCGCGCAGGAGCGCTCCCTGAAGCCTGCGGTTGCGCCTCCAGAGAGGCACGTTGTCGAGCTTGTTCCTCTGCGATGGTCCGGTCAATTGCTCCTTTCAGTCTCTGCAGGTGCTCCATTGTCAGGTTTGGCCGTTGAAGGAGGAGTTAGTTGCCTTGAGCGGATGTTGCAACTGACCTGGAACATATTGAGTTAAGACTGGAGAAACCAGCCACAAAAAAAAGGATAACACAGCAAAATTGTCTCAGCGGAGACACGAAAGGGAGCGCAAGGTGTCAAGTTGTCCTGTAGCTGCACAGACAAAGGTCGAGATTAGTCGTCACAATTGGCGCGCAAGGAGGAATATGGAGTAGGTGGAAAGGGCAAGGGAACGAAAAGAAGAGACTAACTTTTAGAATCAAAAGCCCCAGAAAAGAGGATTGGACTTCATTCAACGGCCGTGGGCATGATTTTGTTCCTGATGCCACAGCGGATTGTTTCGTCCTTCGTCTCTGAAGTTGAGCCACTTGTCAGCCAGCGCCAGCTTTCGGCAGCAGTTCGCAGCCTGCCAAGAGCGCCCTGACAACCCCAGGGATTTTAGGCCGCGCAGGGGTCGTCGGGAAGTTGGGATTGCCGGCGGCATCTTGTTTTTGTGGGTAAGCCGTTATGCGGCATACAGAGATATTTACGCCTTTCCACAAATGTTGGGCATTTGTCTGCCAGCCTCCCAGCCCAGCGACAATAAGGTTGATACGAGCATAGACGTGGAGAAGACCGTGAAAAGATAAAACTAGAGAAGATGGAGCGATTATGCCAATCTCGGAGGTCATGCTCCGTAGTTACTGCCGGGCTGGTATGCAGAGAGATGACCCGGGTATTCTTTTATCGGGGGATGAGGTCACCGTGCGCGAGCTCTCCACAGCACCCTTGAAAGTCTAGCGCTGGAGCTCCTTTCCCAGTGCTGTCATCTTTCCATCGCAAGTTCGCAGCTGACAGCCTCAGGTGGGCGATGCGAATACAAGCTTGACATCCAAGCAGCCTTGCCGCGACAAAAATTCTTGCTGGCGGAGTCTTTGCTGTCGAGGCCGACGATTTTCTCAACGGTTTTTGTTTTTTTGTTTTACTCTTCCAGTGTTATCTCTTTTCACTTCTTACACTCTCTGCTGAAACAATAATTTCCACATCCCACACTCTACCTACCCCTTTCGCGCAAACGTAGTCCCGACGACAGCAATACAGACACGACGTTACCACCATCACGGCTATATAGCACAGTTATTGGCGACTTTTCCTCTTATTCACTATGATTTCGCTCTGGCCATGGGGGGTTAGTGTAGCCTTGCTTCCTGCGCCGTTTGCTTGCTGACTGACATTGTATTTATTTGCACAGAGAGACGACTCTTCCCCCGCCTCTTTTGAAAAGGCGCTCTCGACTCTTTCGACCAAAATAACGGTAACCCAAACTCGCCTCGATCAATCCCGCGCGAAAGCCAGACGGATCAAGGTGCTGGGTACGCTTTACATCGGTTTCGCCTACCTTGTTTATGCGATTGTCTTGATGCTGGTGGTTGGTTACAAGGACATGGGGGCATGGGAGTGGACGGGCATGGCGGGAGGGCCAGTCTTGATTTCGCTGGTCCGCTCGATGACGACCATTTTCTTTGATTACCGAATCGAGAGGCTCACTGCGCGCCTCAAGGAGTATCAGACTGAACGCGCCAAAACCATCCAGAAACTAAAGGATGCTACCAAGTACGATTCGACGCTCGAGCTGCTCGAGAAGTACGGCGGCTCCGACAACAAACAGAAGAAGAGCAAGAAGAAGACGTCCGAGGAGGAGGAAGACGAAGGCGCTGGCGCTGTCAAAGAACAGCCACAACCCAGGCATCATGCTCGTACGGGACTGCCGCCCCCGCCCACAGCAAACATCCAGCGCCGTCCAGAGTCCAGTGCCGGTGCACCTGCACCACACTCTAGGGTGCCAAGTTCAGTATATGGAGCACCAAGCCAACGGTCTCCCAGCCCCATGATCAGTGAGGCGGCCGAGTTCGCGCCAAATGCTTTTGAAGGGAGAGCTCCCCCGCCGTTCCTACAGCATCCACCTGCCACGATGGCCCCTCCTCCCGAGCCGCACTGGTACGATCGCATTCTGGACACCTTGTTGGGGGAAGACGAGACGGCCGCCAAGAACAGAATTGTCTTGATCTGCGCGAAGTGCCGGCTTGTCAACGGCCAGGCACCACCAGGAACGAAATCATTGGCTGAGATTGGAAAATGGAAGTGCATGGCATGTGGGGCGACCAATGGCGAGATAGACGAGGGGAAGCGCATCGTGCAGGAGGTACTTGGAGGAAGGGGAACAAAGGCGGACTCCATTGCCGGAACCACCGATGATGAAGGCGGACAGAGCTCCAGCGAGATTGTCGAGGTAGAGCGGGATCTGTCCACCGAACCTCAGGAACTGTCCGTGAGGAAGAGAGCGAAGAGGGGGCAGTGGTGATCGAGTGCTAGGACGGTATTTCTTTTAACAGTTCAATCTATCTCATGGTTTCTTTTGTTGTGGCTCGCACAACACATCTACTGAACTTAAGAGGTCCGTCGTGTGCCAAGCCTGCCCTGGAACCTGCCTGCAATGCGTGGGATAAAGTACAAAGAGTAGGGTGCGGTGGTGAGTCCGAACTGAGAGGGTTATGGCTCTTTGTCATAGAGCGGACCATACCCTATTTTTGGGTAGAGTACAAAGGATGGTCCGTGATGGCTTCGTGGGCGGTTCTGCAGGATCGCCAAAGGCTCGACAATGCCATTTTGAAGCATCTCGAAGCCATGTAGGAAGATAAAGAAACCTAATGAGGATTAAAATCTGGAAAGGCCAGCGCAGTAATCCACTTCGAGGATCGTTACATCTTTCTTTTTGATCGTAATATACTGATCAGCGCCTCATCACCATCAAAGCTCCGATATATTATTCGAAACCAGCACAGCAATGTCGTATAGCCGGGAAGATTATTACAGAACCATCACTTGTGTCGACTGCGGGTACAACTGCAAGTTTGCTTGTCTTGATGCCCACAAGAGCTCATTCGCTTGCCACAATCCACGATGCGCGAATCACTTGGGAACGGTTGAAGTTGACTTGCCTGGGGGTACACTTTACTCTCGGGAGAGGAGCCATAAAGGTTCATCTTGCCATGAGTCCTCATCCCGTCGCCGGAGCAGATCTAGGAATCCCGAGGAACCGTCATCTCACCATGGCAGCCGTTCCAGGACCACTCATCACTATGAGTATACAGCGCCACCGGAGGAACCTTCCTCTCGACACCGCAGTAGATCAACTGCCAGATACCCTGAAGAGCCCTCCTCGCATCACAGAAGCAGGTCCTCCAACAGGTATGCCGAGGAGCCTCGTCGCTTTTCTAGCTATGCCCCCCAGGGACATCCCAGCAGTTACCAGTACAGCCATGATGCTCATGCCGACTATGTCACTGTTGAACCCGACGAGACCGAGGATATGAGACAGCGCTTCGAAAGGATGGGACGTGAAAGAAAGTCGAGGTATCCACCCTCCTCTTCTGGTTACCGATATCCCCCTTCTTCTTCTTCTTCTCATTATGAGCACCCGCCATCTGAATCTCACCGTCGCAACCGATCTTCGACTAGGCAATACGAAGAGCCCCCTCGTCGCAGCTCTCATAGCTACCGTGGCCCGGGAAATGAAGACCCGAGAAATGAAGAAATCGAGATTGTCGACGCGGGGTCGTCTCCGTATGTTGCTCCCAGCAGTAAGCGCGGCCGTCAATATCCTCCTCGATCCGGTTCCGGTCGTAGACGTGCCTACGGGCCCTACGATGAACCACCTCGTACTCCAGACCTGCCTCCCGCTCCGTATATTTACATTGGCACGTGGGATCCCGAGGGCAACCAAATCGACTGAACAGGTTCATTAAGACAGCTGGCTTGTTGTTGTGATGAGCTGTGCCTTGCCTCTCAAGGTAGGCCATGTAGGTATAAGACGAGAGATAAGATAGAACAGTGCATTTTCAGGAGTTCGGGGCATGGTTTCACTGGAGAGGTCAGGTAAGGTAGGTTGGGGAAAAGAAAAGCAAACTCTGGCATTGGGCAGCAAAGCTGGACCACTTTTTAGGCCAAAAGGGGGAAAGCGCAGGAAGCGACATCAAACATGGCTTTAAATATCAGCTCTTCAATTCGTCGTTATCCACCGTCCTATGCTAACGTTTTGCACATATGTGAGTTCTGTGGACCCAGTCGGCACTGGCGCCGTGCGCTGAAAATCTGCCGGGCCGGTCCACGTTGTTAATCCGGCTGACATTTCCATGTGTTGGTTCTCCGGCTAAGGTAAGATGATGCAGCATACATGCAATTATGTAATCTCACAGCCAATCGTTCCTTCCCAGGCTGGTTGAAGACAGTTGGGAAGGTGCGTGTTCCAGCTCACCACGTAGCTGCCAGCTGATGCAGGTTGGCAGCTTTGCTTCTTGGGCATCGCTCGCCCTGCCAATACACACAACTTCATGCCTTGGAGTTCTGCCACGAGAAGCATTGCACTGCATTATCTTGGCCCAAGCCGCTCAACATATCATGTGTGGTGCCTTATTACTCGATGGGCATCTGCTCCCAGTTTCTCAACCAAAGCCTTGCCACTCGGGCTTCAGTATCGTTCTGCTTTTTTGGCAGAACGATATATCTGAGAGTCGCCATTCATTCCACTTTTTCTTTTGTTTTTCCTTCTCCTTCTTGACACAATTTGGTCAGCATCATTCTTCAGTTCTCCTTCACAGCTATCATCAATGTTTGAATACCTTTTCACCGTCCCCAAGGTAGTGGCTACTGCGCTACAAGAGAAGATCAGGCAAAATGGGCCACAACAACAACAGCAGAACACCGACGCAGGACGATCCCAATATCACTACAACTACAGAATGGGACTCAGGTGATAGTGAGGGCGTCGATTATGTCTACCAGGACAACCGCAAGCCCTCACCCCCTTCCGACAAGAAGACCGTGAAGGCCAGGAGTCCAAGGAGGAAGAGATCACCCAAGGCAAAACCCAGCTGCCACAAGTGCGTATGTGGAGCAACTTTACACACGCCTGCTGCTGACGAAGATGTCGGCGAAGAAACCGTCTTTGAGTTAGACACCGGCTCTGAGAACGACGGATCCCACCGGAGCCATCCGACGAGGCCAAAATCCCCTCCTACGCCTGAGCCCAAGTCGCCAACCCCTGAACCCATTCCACAGCCCACCCCGGAGAGCCAGGAAAAGAGTCGCAAGGTCAAGAAGAAGAAGAGCGCTACCAAGAAGAGTCACTCCAAAAGGTCTCCATCTCCGTACATTGAGGAGTACCCCGAGCAGGCTACTAGGCCAACCATCCTTTTGAGAGAGCACAAGGCTCCCCGAAGGTTCTCCACATCCGATGCCAAACGTGCGGTCGACACCGAAGAGCGCTCCTCGCCGACGTCTTCTGCGAGAGGCAGATCACCCCCAGCCAGACGCTTTTCGACCGCATCTCCGGACAAAGCGGCGAGACCTTCCCCCAAACGACCTTCGCACCGTCGACATCATCTTGCAGCCATGCAAAGTGCGGAGGGCGAGCACCCCCTTGGGACAACACCACCCAAGAAGCTCATCGGCAACCATGGGGACCGCGACCAGGTCTCCGAGGTGGAAGACACTGGGCCGCCATTTCCACGCCAAACACATCATGGCTCAAGTAACCAAATACCCAAAAACATTACTCGCAGTTCAGCCTGGACGGAGCATCAGCCACAATATTCGTCATCATGGCCGCTTAACCCAGGTTTCCATCACCCACCGGGACAACCACCTCAGCAACCCGCACAGCAAGACCTTCAGTACGACAGCGATGACGAGAGTGAACATGATACACCACACAACGAGTCCAAGTTTGCGGACAACACTTTTTCGAGACCGTCTAGACAGTCTTCATTCATGGGGCACCAGTGGCAGATGGATGAAGAGTTGAAGAGAGATAGGGAGTGGGAGGAGGAACAAGAGAGAGAAAGAGAAAGGATATTGGAAAGGGAACGAGCTCTGCAGAGAGCTCGAGAGTTGGAGATGGAGAGGGGCTTGAGCAGAGAAAGAGCACGGGAGATGGAACGCCAACGAACACAGAGAGAGTTTGAAGAGCGACAACGATTCGAACGAGAGCAAGAGGAGCGACGACGCCACGAGGAGCGTGAGCGTGAGCGTACCCGTTCTATGCCCCACCGGCGCCGAACAATGCCCGCCCGGTTGGCTGTAGGAAATATGGATCAGGGCCCCAAGTCTGTGGTCACGGAGCTATGCGATATTTGGCGTGGCCGTGCTTCCGACTGGGAGTCTCCATATCCTTCAGACAATGAAATCTACTCCGACGACGACGACGACATGGGCCACCACAATCGACTTTTCCACCACGGTGGTCCATCAAGGTTACTGCTCCTCGACAGCTGCCCACCGCGAGAGACTTCCCCCTCACTGCTCCCACCACACGGAGCTAGAAGTCATTTTGGTCTCGCTCCTATGGGGCGCCCGCCTGCACCGACAACGAGATCCCGTTCCCCTGCTCCCTTCCCAGGTCCCCGTTTGGGTCGCACTTGGGCAGGTCATTCAAGCAGCAATACGGTGAACGGGTTCTTGCTGTTGGAGGCGGGGCCCCTGATGATGGAACCTGAGATGATGGATGAGGATGAACAAGGGGAGGAGATGTTCCCACAAGGCACTGATCCTGCGCATCGAGGGTGGACGTATCCAATGGTGAGTCCTGTTTCGGAACCGCCTCGACTTTCACGGTCGGTGGTTTTGAGAAGACGGTCGATGGCACCGGATGAGCCACCTATTTTTTGCGCGAGGAAGACGAAGGAGATGTTGTCGCCTACGCCGGTTAGGGCAAAGAGGTTTGATTTTGAAGGTTGGGGTCGCGATAGGAGTTCGAGGAGTTCGTTGGGGTTGGGGTTGATGGGTTGAGAGGGGAGGCAAGGCTACTAGACCTACATCCTCGGGAGAGGGGGAGTTTGGAGTTGGACGTTCAGTTGGGGGTGCAGGCAAGGCTACTAGGCCTGCCTATAGGGATTGAGAGGTGGTGGTTGTGATATCATGGATGCTAAATGGTGTCTAGATGGTTGAGCATTCGCATGTGGGGAGTTGGTGGCTGTGACATGATTGCATACGACTCGGCGTTTCAAAAAGAGGGTATCAGGTTTTGTTCTCGGTGGTGTGATGAGGAATTTCAGAGGGCTAGAGCTGGAGGTCATACGGAGTCTTTTTGTTGTTTGTTGGCGGTGGGCAGATAATACGTATTTGAGAAGGAGGACGGACCTGAATTGTATCGACAAAGACAAGAAGGAAGTGGAGGATATTCAAGCTCATCAGCACGCATATTTCCTTTGTATAGAATAATAATTAGTAGATAGATATGATCGTTATGACCAACTGAGCAATAGATCAGATCTGTCGATAGATGTTCGAGGCGTTTATGGCGTG